TAAATCTGGTGTCACAGAAACCAACACGACTTCGACACAGTCATCCCCGCAACACACATCGATATATCTCGTATAATATCAATTCCTAGTTGTGGTTTTTATATAGTTAGAATAAATTAATTAAAAGTTTATTGTTTTAAATTGTTCTTTGATACCCAACAATTCACTAAAGACTGTTTTTAAAAACTTCTTAAATGTAATTAGTACCTATTTATTCCTTTTATTAATATTTTTCAGTTTCTGTTCTCATTTTTAAGCCCCAACAAAATTATGTAAGAAAGGAACTTCAGTTAATTTATTAACACCTTTTAATTTACCTTTAAGTCATTATTAATTTGTAATTTTAAAGATAATTCTACTAACATTCTACAACAAAAATGAAACATTGTTGCAAACTGTAAGTAAACAACTTAGTAGATATAATTTTAGGAGATTAGTGGATAAAATATGCTTTTAAAAATTTATCTATATTTTTCTCGCAATTTTATTTTGCGTTGACCAAAAACTCAAATATTAGTAATACAGTAACATTTTCAACAATTATGTCACGCTCTTGAGTTTGTCATTAACGTTCTATTTTGGAGGTAATTGGAAAAGTTTTAATTGTATTTTATTCCAAATTTGCATTTATATACCCGTCCGTACGGTTTCCATTAAACCCAAAATAAAGAGAGGGATAACCAAAAGCCATATCACTTATATAGAGAGAACAGTTTTTGCTGTCTTTCTACAGTCAATTCACTGTGAGTGAATTTTAATTTCGGGCTTGATTTGAATAAATGACATATTTGTATTTGTTTTCCTTTCAACACAGCATTTCTGTGCTGTTGAAAAACTTTAATATAGCTACCGGATATTCCAACATTCCATGATCAAATTGGGACAGTTTAACTATACATTGCTCTACTCAAATTGATTGATTCAGCCGTTATATAGAACGATAAAGTTGGCAGAAAAAAATTATTTTTTCCCCAACATCTCAAATGTTTTGTCTGTTAGGTATATAGCAAATTGGTATGCTAGTATTTGTATATAGATGTCTGTTTTTGACATAGAAACCAAGTGCCTTCAGTTACAGAAATGAGTAAAATATCTCCACCCTTTTTCAGAATTACAAAGATATAAAGTTTAATGGGCATATCTCTAATATTGAAAGAGATATCACCAAAAGAATGAATAAAAAATTTTACAGATTCAATTGTCTCTGCAAATTGTTTATCATTACAGTAATCTATAACACATATTTATACACAATATTATGGAACAAATATTTTCTCACTTTCTTATTTTAATTTTCTTTAGGTAGTTATTCTGAAATACCCTGTATTATTAAGAGCTGTGTATAACTCATTTTTCCTACACTTTATAGTCCCATCAGTGCCTTGATTCGGTTAAGTTTATTGCTTTTCTTTTCTTCTTTTCTTTGCCATACTATTCAAAAGTACATATTTTCTTTATAAAATGAGATTGGTGTATTAAATTCGCAACATGAAAGATTTTTAAACACTTGCGTCTAAAGAAAAGTATTTATTTTTAATGTAAATATTAATTTAAGAATAAAAAGAACACATTTACTCAAATATCCCGAAAGATGTATGACGTAGACTATAGCTAATTATAATTTACGCACTAAGCCAATTCAAATCAATTCTTAAAAAATTTCCTAAAATTCTCATCAGTTCCATTTTTAAATGCGTCAGCTCTCTATTACGGTTCAATGCGTGATTTAAAAATGTCAGTTGTGTGCTTTGTTTTATTAATACATTGGATACATTAATTGTAACCACAAGACAAAACTAAAGTACTGCGTTGGATTATAAGTCGATCATCAGTTCCAATCGGTGACAATCCAGATGGGTAAAATCCAGAGAGGCCAATTGTCCAAACCTAACGCGAACTTCGCCGCAAGACCTCTGCGAACCCATCAGGGACTGTGACCAATCGTCGATCCTGATGGCATGGTGTTCATTAACCAGGAACGAAACGTTTTAAATTATTGCAATTTTGCATTGTATAAACGATTTTCAGGAAAAAATAACGGTCCAACTTGCATAAATAACCATTTGTTTTAATCGCCCTTTACATAAATTTTAGATATCCTCTGTAAATTACTGAAAAAAAAACCGTTTGATAATGCCTGGAATTAATTATCTGCCTTGGTGTGATTTATGTTCGTTTATTTAAATAACTGATTAATGACCACGGGTAAAAAGAATATGTAAACAGATTTTATGAAACAATGTATTTAAGCGCATTACCAGCGAAAAATATTATTGCCTATTGTGAATTAGGACGTTTAAAACAAACACACACACTGTAACGCTTTGAACTTTTCTTTATCGAGTGAATATATACACGTACATACATACAATAGCACGAGGTGCTATACGGATCCAGTGTAATTTAAATCATCTAAAACTCACATTCATTGTACTCTAATGAATTTTTTCAATTCAGTAGTGTGTATACATTATAATCATTTCATCCAACACTTCTTTGTAACGTAGTGGACTGTTTACTCTTTCAAGTACGTTGACACAGTTAACAAATGATCTGATATTTGATTTCACCCCTCATCATTTTGAAGTGTCCCATTAGAGCTTATTTTTTATAATTTCTTGTTTTTCTCTCGTATTTTCCACCTGCTATAGTCACTGGGTATACTGGTTCCAAAAAACAGGGGAAATGAATTTTTAGATTTTAGACAAAATTAAATATAATAAATTTCACATTCCAAGAAAGATTAACCAAAAAAACTGCAGAAAATTTCAAAAAGGGGAAGGGCTTAACCTAGATTCACGTTTAATCACGGATATACCTCTAGTTTAGTGTTCTACTTAAAATAAAATACATACAGTGCGTTAAGGCAATAATGTAAGCATTTATAAAAAATTTAGTACACAATCATAATGTAATATTTTAATCAAATGTCCATTTTCACATAAAACATAAATAAATGTTCCATTGAATGATACTCAAGGGCTATCATTGGAAATACAATAGCAGTTTTCTCCGTATCTATTTCGATACATCGTTCACAGACAACCAATAGCACAACCCACGCCTTTTTCTTGTTACTTTACAACCCTACTTTTCTCCTTTATATTATGTCGTTCATCACTATACTGCTGTAAAAGTCTTCCTAAACTTTTAACCAAGATAAAAATCGCGGTTTTAATAAACGCAACGAGAAAAATTTTATTGATACACATTTTTTCTCCATTATGAAACATGATGAAGATTTGGAGGATTTGGAATTCGAAATGATGATGGGACCATTCTCCGTCGACGGGTCAAACCAACAACATTGTGCAAGTAGGCTATTCGCTGTGGTCGCAACATGAGTAACCTGTAAAACTTGCACATTTGATACTAGTATCAATATGTTATGCGCATACGTGAAGTAGAACATTTTGTTTAACGTCAAAAATACAATTGAAGTTGATGAATTTGTAACAATTCAATATTACAAAGGCAGAGAGTCTATCCAAAACAGAAAATATTTGCACGTAGTCTACGAGACAAAAAAGTTTAGGAACCTCTGGTGTAAACTAACAGATTGAGATCGTGACGGATCGAACCGAAGACCTTTTTGTTACAGTTCACATCCACGAGCAAGATTCTACGTGTGTATTTTGCTATTGCAAATAAATTGACTGAAGTATTAAGTTTTTCTTGAAACGCGTTGATTGGAATGCAAAGTGGTTAACGTATAATTAATTTTATGAGGATTACGTCTTGTGAAAATTGCATAATGGGCGAATGACGGCGATGAGTGTATATAAATAACACAAACGCTAATTATCTTCCGTCACTTCATCTAGGTTGATGATGTCTAATACGATTTAAGTTGATAACGTTTAATATCTCACATCGACACCGCGTCCCACTCACTATTCAATTTCAGGCGGGCGCCATCCGCCACCATCCATATAAATTGAAAACTTATTAAATTAACGTCGATGAGCTGACCTTTATAAATATGGTAATGCCAGGAGGTCCGCTATAATTAAAAAGCGATTCAACGCAAATACGTAAAAGTTTATACTGTGCCGTTGTCTTAAACATTAAAAATTTAAATATAAACAATTACGGCCGCCGCCCCCTGCTTCGTGGTGACAGTGGAACAAAGGGAAAGTCTAAAAAACGGGGAAAGTTGTAATAAAAAGGAAATTTTACAATGCCTCGAATTTCAAAGTAATGTCGTTTATCTTGTTGATATTGGCTCTCCCAGGAATTTCGTAATATGCTATTTTCTTTACAGTACAAAACTTTGATAAAGTTTCGGTTTAAATTTATTAAGAAAAGCAATGTGATGTTAATTAGTCAGTACATTCTTATATACAGGGTGTTAATGAACAAATATTTTTACCACGTCCGTTATGTCAAAATGAGGTAAATACACGGATCTGTGTTGAGTAAAATGTAATTTCAAAATCTGACTTACTACAACACTGCAAGGAGCCACCTTTTGAGAACTCCTGATTTTCATAGATGTACCCACCATTTGTTTGCAAACAAGCTTCAGCACGACGTATCCAATTCGCTCTCACGCGTTGCAACATTGCCACGGTCCTCTCGAATCATATTACAAGCTTCGGCAATACGATGTCGCAGTTGGTCGTCGTTCAGGATATCTTGCACGGTACACTTGACAAGCTCTGTGGGCATTTTCGTTTGCATCGCCATAAATTATGAGCATATCATAATATTCTCGATTGCTAAATACATGCGCCATTTTCGAAAGAAAAATAAATGCGGCTATTAAATGTAGTCTCGAAAAACAGCACAGTAATCACTACAACAATGTGTTGCAAACGGACTTTCGAATACAGTGAACTGTGATGTTAATATTGGAAACGAAAACTGGTTTCTTGTTTCTAAAAACTTGGTAGAAAATAACTCAATGTCTAGATCTATATATGACGATTTGATGTATTTAATATTTTTATGTCTCTATGGATTAAACAGTTTTTATAACATAATTCTTTATTTTTCAGCAATTAAGGCATCTCTTCTGATCCAAAAATGGTACAGGAGATACATGGCGCGTTTGGAAGTCAGACGTAGATACACTTGGACCATATTTCAAACTCTAGAATACGCTGGAGAACAAGATCAAGTTAAGGTATTGTAAGCTAAGTTAAATAACCAACAGAGTTAAAATTCTACCTCTTCTGCTAACACTTTATAAACATTCCGCTACTTATCACAGTAATCCTTAACTTTTCCTCTTAATTCTTAAAAATCCATATAGTCTTGTAAAGTCGTCGTAGCAAACTGATCCTGAATCTTAATATTTAAACCTTTCGCATTCGGATAACACATTATTATCTTTTTATTAGAACAGGTAAAGGATGAGTAACAGGAAGCTATTTAACATTTAATATATCAGATTTAAATCGGTCCAATTTCCGCCTTCCAAAACATTAGGTTTTAGCAATGAAACACGATCATTCCTAACATCAAGATAAGATTTTGCTTACCTTTTGAATTGGCTCAAAGAAACATTTGGAAAACAGCAAAACAATACAATTTTAAACGTATTACGTAAAGTAGAACACTGTTTATTTTTATTTGTTCATATTGCATAGGTCAATAAGGTCCAAGGCCACCGTGTTCCCTAGATCTAAATCTTTTAGACTTTTATTTATGAGAATACATGGAGCAGCTTGTCTACCATGTTGAAATCACTACCCGTCAGCAGTTACTTGAAAGAATTCAGGATGCAGGTATGCAGATAAGAAACGATCCAAATCTCATCCGTCAAGTGACGGAATTTTTAGTTCTCCTATGCGAGGCTTGCATTCGAGCCGAGGGTGAACATTTTGAACAATTTTTATGGTCTTAAGATTTGTTAATTTGGTTAATAATGGTTAACTAATGTTTAACCTTTAAACACAACTAATAATTATTGTTATAGCAACCATCATTTTTATTTATCATTTACTTTGATTGAAATATGAAATTATATTTTTTTAAATGCTTGTAACTTGCTTGTAAACAAAAACGAAAACAATATTCAAATAATATAACTTAAAATACTCTGCTTTGTACAAATTTGTAAGAAAGGTTAATATTAGCAGAATGTTTTACAATATTTTTATCTGCATTTTCAACCTTCTCCATATACAAATTATATTTATTAATTTCTCTTCTTTTAATCTAAGTTTGTAACTTCATTTACAAAGAGAGAAAAATGTTGTACCTTTGATGTTGGAGCATTTGAGCACAAAACGTACATTATGTAAATTTAACTTATAGCATAAAAAACCTGTAATTTAAATTCAACTTCAAAGCAAACGAACCTTGTACAAACAGTTTTAACCGACTTGAGTGATATTTCAGCGTCAAATATCAAATTATTGGACAAAAGTAACGCATTCAGTTTTAAGATCAGTTATAACAGAAATATACAGATATGGGCTCTGTTTTGCTATATAAATATGCTTAAAGATTGTTATTATTATTAATTATTTTATCTAATTAAAATATATTAAAAGGCATAGAAAAATATTAAAAAACAAATAAAGACTTGTTCTTCCTCCGCAAAAATTACTGCTTTTCTAATATGTATTTACTTCTAATTGTGAGAAGATGTCCCAACGAAAAGAGAGGATTTGGAATATCAGAAAAACTATCGCTTAAAAAAACGCCGAAAAACATAAACTTTGACTTTAAACGAGACAATCGTTTGTAATAAAATCAACCCGCAACTTCATTACCTTACAGGGTATAGGTTATATACAAAAACGGTTTCTAAAATGTTAAGCTCTTAAGTCTAGTGTCATGTATCCCGAAAAGGGTTTTGATGGCAATGTCCTATTAAATATGTTTAATTCCAAGCATTAAGCACCCAAGGACGTCAGGCTGTAAGGTTCCTGTATCATCTACTTCATAATAAAGTTGATGGCCTGAACTTATTCAAACAGCTAAGTTTCTTCACTTTCCACAATGAACTGAGAAATAATATTTTTACTTTATTTAAAGGTAATTCAAATAAATTTTAAGGAAGTCAAATAACGTTTTGCATTACCAGAAATCTATAGGTATGCAAGATATATCTAAACTCACAGACAAATTCCTCACTGTTGATATTTTCAGAATTAAATTATCTTCAATCATTTAAAAAAAAATGCAATACTCAAAAAGTATCCATCACCCTGTACATATACTTCTCATGTATAATCTTCGTGTCGCACCCTGTATAAGGGTCGATAACTATTGTATCTCTTAATGTGAAGATATTTGGTCAATAAATCTTACTTGGTACAATTCACCAGACAGTTAACTAATAAACAAAAGGTTTGATTAAGATTCTTGTTGTTCTAAAGTATTATAAATTGGATTAGTATTGAAGTTTATAACCCCCCTTAAGCTTAATTAAAGGGCGAGAAAATTAAACAAGGTTAATTTTCTTTGCCCGTCTTCACATTGTTTGGCTTTTAGACCGTGCAATAGAATATACAATCTATAATAAAGTGGGAGGTTGTGCCACCGTCTTTTATATAATCCAAGTTATAGTCCAATTAACTAAGCCTTTAAATCGAAATTTTACCAACTTGGCTGAATTTTTGATATGAGTTAGTTTAAGGTATATTATAACAATAAGTGAGAGTAATTTTTTGTTCAACCCCCGGCCAAGGGTGGAAAAAGATAAAACAAAGGGCTTTTTCAAGATAACTCAAAAAGGGTAAGAGGTAACTTTTTCTTGTACTATTACAATTAACAGAGTTAGGGAGGCTAGAAGTTAAGGGAAGATTTCAGAAATTTAAAAAAAATCATAAACAGAAAAATGATTGAATTTTGTAACTTTTTTTTTCAAACTGCTCTAGAATATGTAACTTTTCTTTTCAGAGAAATAGATATATTTTTTAATTTTTAATAAGAAAGTTATAACAAAAAATCAAATTTTTAATAGTTAATTTTAATGATTTAACAAAATTAAATTTCTGAAATCTTCCCTTAACTTCTAGCCTCCCTAACTCTGTTAATTTTAATAGTACAAGAAAAAGCTAAGAGACCATTTTTATGTAGAATTGTCTGCTTTACAACTTTTTTTTCTAGCTCTTACCCTTTTTGAGTTATCTTGAAAAAGCCCTTTGTTTTATCTTTTTCCACCCTTGGCCGGGGGTTGAACAAAAAATTACTCTCACTTATTGTTATAATATACCTTAAACTAACTCATATCAAAAATTCAGCCAAGTTGACAAAATTTCGATTTAAAGGCTTAGTTAATTGGACTATTAGTGGCGTGTTCAAGGAAGACCAAGGGGCTGCGATGACCCCAAGCTTCCGAGTCATCGTGGAAAATGTCATTGAAGTTGAAAAAAGTAACATTGAACTCAAAAGAAAGTTGAAAATACAATAACGCAAAAATATGGATAACAAACGGTGGTCGATGAAAGATATTCGAAATTGAGAAATTCAAGAATTCACTATTCAAAGGTGTAAGGGAAAATGGACATAGAATACCTACATTTCCATTTTCTCTGTAGCTCGTCAAATAAAGCTGGACAATTATAACTTTACTGTCTATAACTACTTGGGAACTCTGTAAATAATTAGTTTTTACGATCTATAACTGTTTGGGAACTGTGTATAATTAGTTTAACAATTTTCTTTTTGTTACAGCTTTATAATTTCTTCAATGCTTTGTTGACTCACATACCACAATCCGATCGGGAATGTGACTCTACAGAGACTTCAAGAAGTTCTTCCTATGGTAAGAACAAAAAATTATTGAATCTATATTATAAATCAGATTAATGCTGAAATCTTTAGACTAACAAATTTACATATACATATGTTTGATCCAATAGCAGTCAAAGATATTTCTAACGGTTTAAAACTAGTTACTGGAACAATATGTTAATTGGCAACTGAACCAAATTATACTGCCTATGTCTCCAGTCCTGGCTCTCGGACTGTTTCAGCTTTGGACTACCTTTCATCAATTTTGTTAAATGTTTTGATATTGAATACTGACGAAGTTTTCAAAAAGTGGATTCTTGCTTTTAATTAAGTTATTATAGGTACAGAATACAATCTACTATCGAAATTGTTTCATATGTAGCGACATATAAAAAAATATATTAGTGCGAACTCAAAATTACATACTTTTGAACATATTTACCTTATACCTTGATTTCAGTGAGGCTTTTGATGAAGTTCCTATTAGAATATTGCTTGCAAAACTAGATCGTTATGATGTTTGTGGGAAATTGCTTCCCAGAATACGAATCTTTATCAGGTGTCCAAGTTTAGTGGCAAAGTTGGTGATACTCTAGACATTGTTTAATGGCGTTGCTCAGGGATCTATACTGGATCCAGTATTATGTTTAATTTATAATTATCTGGTCGACACAGCGCAAATCTTGTCAACATTCAGATAATACTAAACTTTATGTTTATCGTTTTTGTCATTCTGCACAACTTCAATGTGATTTAAGCCTTACTCAAGAATGGTATAGTGACTGTTTGATACATAACCTATTAATCCTGTCAAATGCATCATGCTCCGTTTTGATCGATCTAATCCTGAAACTTTCAAGTCACAGAATGACCGTGGAATTGTTATCTCTATCCTGGGGAAAACCATAAGTTTCACCTACAGGAAAGCAATGAACATGTTTCGCAAAGAATTTTCCCGTAGTGGCATTGCAACCTCTGTTAAACTATATTAGGTCAATTATTGACCTAATATAGTGACTTATGACAAATACCAAATTGAGAGAGTACAACGTGCTGCTACTAGGTTGCCCTATGGAAAAGGGAGACGTAGTTATGGTAGTTCTTATTTGTAATTTTCTTCTAGGATGTGGAAAATTTAAACGAGTTGAACTAATTTTCTTCCTCTTTCAGTCCAGCTACAGTTAATAGTTAAAACAAATTCCTCCATTACGATCTCTTTAAACATAATAGTTAACCCATAAATTCTACTAATAACAAAGTGTATAAACTAATAGTTGGGAAGAGAATAGGTACTTCTCGATTCCGTTGTCAGTAAAAATGTAACTATTTTCAGATTCATTCATGCTCGAAAATATAGTCCCTGAATATTCATAACCCTTTAAAACTTTGAAGATACCTGAGCCGCGACTGGAGACTTTCACATTTTATATGTACATACATTCAGGGTGTTACAAAAAGAGAGTAAAATATTTAAAGAGGTAATAGTATGAACAAAAATAAACAGAAAAGTCCCAATAAACATGGGTCCGCAAAGTAACGGTTGCGGAGATATGGAATGTTTTATGTTTTTAGCCCCTTTTTTTATTTTGCAAAAACGTTGTGTATTTTCTTATAATAGTTGGTTGATGTTTAGTGAAATAAACAGTACGTATTTGACAGTTGTTCTCAGTGCACAAGTTTTCTTTCGCTATGGCTGGTTACTCTAACGCAGAATTAACAGACATGCATGTCATGTATGGTCGTGCTAATGGGAACGCCACCGAAGCGCGACGTCTTTATGTTGACGCTTATCCAAATCGCCAGATTCCTTCACAACGCATGTATTGGAAGAATTCACCAAAGATTGCGTGATACCGGTTCCTTGAGCAAACAGTGCCATTTATCCGGAAGACCAAGGTCGGTATCCACTCCTAGAGCAGAAGAAGAAATTCTAGCACTGGTAGAGCAGAATCCAGGTACGAGTGTGCGGAGAATATCAGCCGAAGTAGGAATTAGTGGTCCTCTTGTTTGGAGAATCCTTCACGAGCACCTGCTTTATCCATACCATGTGGAACGAGTACAGGCCTTAAATCCAATAAATGATCATCAAGCACGTTTGGTTTTTTGCCGCTGGTTTCTACGTCATGATGCTGAAGACCCTCGTTTTCTTGCAAATATTCTTTTTAGTGATGAGGCCGGGTTCACAAGAAATGGAGTGTTTAATTTTCACAATACGCATATTTGGGCCGACGAAAATCCTCATGCTCTTAATAGAATCTGGACATCAGACACGTTTTTCATAAAACGTTTGGATGGGTATTGTAGGTGACAGGTTTCTAGGTCCTGTTGTTTTACCAAACCGATTAACAGGCGCTGCTTACCTCAACTTTCTGCAGAACACACTGTATGAGTTTTTGGAAGACATTCCTTTGAATCAGAGGCAACAAATGTGGTTCCAGCATGATGGTGCTCCAGCTCATTTTTCCATGGCCGTTAGAGAGCATTTACACCAAACTTTTCCACATAGATATGTAGGAAGGGCCGGACCTGTTTTATGGCTTCCAAGATCGCCTGATCAGAACCCTCTAGATTTCATTGTTTGAGGATATTTGAAGACATTAGTGTATGGTACTCCTGTAAATAGCCTGGAAGAGCTGCAACTACGGATTAATCAAAACTGTCAAGAAATCCAAACCAAGGAGGGTGTTTTCGAAAGAGTTCGAATATTGTTGAGACGAAGCCAAATGAACGGAGGGCACTTTGAACATCTTCTGCAACTTTGTTTTTTGTCTGTTAAAAGCTTCCTTTGTCGGTTTATTCCTAATAAAATAAAATGTTTGAAAAACGAATAGTGGTCCATATCTCCGCAACCGTCATGTTTATTAAGACTTTTCTGCTTATTTTGGTTCATACTATTACCTCCTGAAATATTTTACACTCTTTTTTTAACACCCTGTACAACTTATAATTACGAGTACATTTTTTTCCGCGTTAATTAAATACCTACTATTTTATGTAATAAAATATATATTTTTGTTTCAAATTGCGTACACGAATGTAGACGGTATATTATTAAGGTTCTATTTTTTGCAAAAGCATACAATCAACATCTTTTTCTCTACTAACAATTTCCTTCAAGAGAACTCTCCATCTTGAAATCAAGGTAGTAACGAGGGCTTTTTATGAAACTCAGTTAATTTCACGGTTTTATTTTACTATTTTTTTTTATCGTACGCCGGGGCACTTTCGGAACGGAGAGGGCGTGAAAGTTGTGTTTGTGATAGCCAAATAAAAACAATTACTTACATCCAAAAAATCATTCGTTGGCAACTGATACCAGTGAGATGATTAATATAAATTAAAGTTGATTCTTTTTGCAGAAAATCTAAATTTAGAGTTTGATGATGAATCTCCCGAAGAGGATTATTTTGATCCGGAGGAGAAGAAGAAGTTATCACATTTTTCCATAGAGTACCCATATACTGAAAAAGCTCTTATACAGCTGATAGAAATATTCCGAAAACATCGAGTGAGTATAGGTAACTCGTAGTTATTTTTTATTGGTCTTTATTTCATATACATGTAAGACTTGCTTTGAGGTGAAATTGGTTCATGTGAACAACATTATTGTTCATTATGATTATTAAACAGAGCCTTCATAAGTGATTACAAGCCGCCGAGCTTAGCAACCAACATTGCACCATTGGTAATATCACCTAAAAAATCCTTAAATTTTACGAAAACTTAATTGCCAATGTGCAGGAAATGAAATTGCTGCTCCAAACAAAAATGAAGACTCTGTCTCTATAGTTTCGAAATACACATTGATTTATTACACAGACCAACAAAATTTAACTTTTTTTTGGAAGCAGAAACTTAAATATATATTTCCGAAGATTTAGGGGCGCTGAATCCGAATCTGGGAGCAGAATTGCTCTATCATGTCAGGTTTTTGAGATATCCTAACCTAAAAGTGCAAAAAACACTGTTTTTCGTCATATTTGAGGTTATGTAGTAATGCCATCTATTCTTTTTCAAAAAACTAATACATTGAATCTAAAAGTACAAGGCTCCCTCCTTCGAATGCCGTTGAGTTTGCTCAAATATCTTTTTTCGTTCAGATAACACATGTTGAAATTTTTAAGTTTCTCAGTTTCTTAATATGCGAAAATCTACTAAGGATCCCCTAGACATCAAGCAGTCGATTGCAATTCAGAAACTTCATACCCATACGGTTTGTGGGCTTGGGGTTTGTAAGCTTGGGGTTTGTAAGCTTGGGATTTGTAGTTTCAGGTTTTGTGGGATTGGAGTTTGTGGGTTTAGGGATTGTGGGTTTGGGGTTTGTGGGTTTGTAGATTTGGAGTTTGTGAGTTTGAATTCGAATGTATTGAAGGTTTCTGAGTATGAAGTTTCTGAACTGCAATCAACTGTTCGACATCTAAGGGATCCTTAGTAGATTTTCGCATATTAAGAAACTGATAGGATATCTCAAAAACCTGACGTGATAGAGCAATTCTGCGGCCAGATTCGGATTCAGCGCACCAAAATCCTTCGGGAATGCATATTAGTGTGTCTGCTTCTTGATCCTTGTTGACCTGTGTTATCGATTTCTTTGAATGAGAGGCCGGTTATGGCATTAAAAACAGAAAAAATTGTAGCTCTCGAGCATGGAGTTAGTTAGATTCACGTAAAAAAAAATCATGGTTATAAGATTTGGAATTTTCGATAATCGTATAGAATTTTGTAAATTAGTAAAGAGGTTTTGTTAGAAAGACATAAAGGACGAAGAGATAGAAGGTAAAATTGAGGTGTCTGCCACTTAGCCAGATTTAATACCACTAAAAGAGGCATTTTTATAAATCTACCACATTGCATGAGCTATAAATACTGATTAGATTGAAGGTTGGTAATTTGTTATTCGGACAGAAACAATTTAGAGACCTATTTATACTATTTATGTGCATTTAGGCGAATGCCAGGTTACAAATAGCGGAATAACGATTAATTAATTTATTAATTTATAGTTACGAAAGACATAAACTTACGTTTCTATAAAAACGATTAAGGGATATAATTTCAGAGAAACTAATTATGACGTGGATAATGAACTTTGCCAATTCCCCATGTCGGCTGGAACAGCTAATCTCATTATTCCAAATTGGAGCAATGCACTTTTTATCAAAATTTACTTTTCTATATTACAGTCTCTAACGTCACTGTTAGTACAAAAACTAATTAAATTTGGTAAACATTAACATCCACTTGGCAGCAAGAATCGGATAAAACTCTGATACTGCACCAAAATATACAGTGTGTCCATTTAGGTCAGAGAAAAAATCTCGTTATGGGATTATCAGGCAAATTAAAAATGGCACATTTTGAAATTAGCAACGTGTACACAGGATGTTGAAAAAAGAAGTGTGACGCAAAATATACTTCTTTAATGACACACCATTAATTTTTCCTGTTGCAAAGTTATAATTTCTTTTAATAAATATATGTTCGTTACAACTGTTCATTCAAATTTCAATATCTACTGTCATGCGAACTAGTATTTCATAAAATTTTAAAGGGATTGTTCTTATTTAAGTTTATTTTATACGAAAATAATATTAGAACAGCGCACTAATTTCTCACAAAATTTCCAAATTATTTCGTGATGTGTAACTTTGATACTAATGACTATTTTTGGAAATAAACAATAATTTATAACTTTAAATATGTCTTTCTGTTTCAGCATTTCAAATTACACCCCAGAAATGTAGCCGAAATTTTGAGAAGGTCAATTATTGCTCTGAAAAAGTTGCCAAATATTAATATAGCGTCAACGGGAATATCCAAACAAATGACGGTGTGTGGTGATCTACACGGAAAGTTCGACGATTTACTGGTTATCTTGCACAAGGTAAATGATAAGCTTGTAAAGTTGTACTCTGAAAGTTTAAAGGTTATGGCTGAGTTTGAGCATTTGCTGGAATTGGAGGGTATGAAATCCCTCTAATTATTTTATTATATATAAGTTATATAGTTCTTGCGGCTGTTATAACTACACAACGAACTACTGAGTCAAAATAGGATTTTGCCTATTTTTAATTACATACATCAATCAATAAAAATATTTTTATTATGATAAACTGTACTTACATGATACCAACAACTGACCACATACACATTTGGTCAGAGCTAATCCAATTTATATATTTATTTGAAATGTCAATGAAATTAATTTCATTTTTAATTTGTCTCCATAAGAAACATTTCTATCTTGAAATTTGTAAATATTTCATTATTTTCCTGAAATCGGTCCTATTTTAATCACGTGTATATCCCCAAAGTTTTTTTAATAAGTTGTGAATCACGTATATACAAAAGTCATTAATACAATAGATTACAGAAAGCGAACAAGTGTTTTCGAGAACATCGATCCAACAGTATAACTATTCACGTGGGTCTACTATCTTACACAATTATGAAACAATATTTCAGACTTAGATGTTACATTTGAAGCAAGTTATTATATGATGTTCACGCGAATAATGTCACAGAGTGTGCTCTTCGTTCTCTAGGTTTTGTCATAAGATTGTGAGATTTTAGGAATATGGACTGGAGGTTGTGTATTATGCATATATTCGATCTGAACTAGAATCCACAAGCGTTGTGCGGGTGCCATCCTATCATATCAAATATAAAGTAGATTTCTCAAGTTGTTTTATTTTAATAAATCTCTGCATAATGAATGTCTGCGTGAGGTTACAGTCAGAAGTATTTGCAAAATCAATTTCAAATTCCCTCTTTTCAAGCATTAAAGATGTTATTTGGTTTAGTTTTTCTATATAAGCTTTCATATCACAAAATTACTTGTCCTGGGTTAGTTTCACAATTGCTTCCTAGCCCGAATTGTAGAAATAATAGTCTTTTTGACCTAGAACCAGCTAAAACTAACGTACCTAATTTTGAGATATTCGTTTTGTTTGATTGGGAATTTCTGTCACATTAAAAAGAATATAATAATAATAAGTAAACCTTTTTATTTATTTATTTATTCATTTCTATGTGGAATAAATACCCAATCAAATAAATAGAATAACAAATACCACAAATGAATAATTACAGTCATATAATGTTGAGATCTACAATATTTTTTTTATGCGAGATATTTAAATCATTTAAATGATTATATTTACATATTTACTGTAACCTGGAAAGACTTCGTGAATTTTATTTATTAACATACTTTTTTTTTAAATGGCCAGATCCTTGAGCAAGATTTAAATTTACTGAAACGAGATTGTTCGAAATATTATATTTTAAACCATATGTGATCAATATTCACAGTATTAGAAAATTTAGTTCTCTTATGGGAATCACCCTGTACATACGTTAAAATATTCACGTTTCAAATGAAAGATGTTTTCCATCAATGTTAGATTCTGGAACTCACTTTAGTGATGATCTGTTTTCAAGCTCTATTTTCAATAGCGTTGATGACTTTAATAGAAAAGCTCTTAAATTTATGTATCGTTATAATTTTATTACATTTTCTCTTTAAGAGCGTTTCCGAGCGTTTATTCTGAAATATCTGCGTTTATAGTGAAATTAAAGTAAAATTTTACTACTTTGCATGTAGAAAAGTATACATATAATATTAGTGAATAAATTGTGTATTTTGTATAACTACTTTCTGTTTTACTTACTGCTATAGTTGAAACTCAAGAATTCGAGTTCATGTAGAAAATATATCTCGACTTACTACAAAGGGTTCTCAAGTCAAAGTTAGAATAAACGTAACTTTTCCGATCGTCAGAAAAAAGTCTGCGGAACATGTATTTCAGATAAAATTCTGTATCGGAATTCTATAATAATTTCCTTTCCCGTAGTTATTCGCTGTCCCTTATTATCCTATTTGTACTACCCTTTCCCTTTCTGGAAATTTGAATTTCCTGAGACGTCTTGCCTTTACTAACGACTTTTGAATGCTTTGATCTAGAAAAGGTCTTCCGTATCCACTTAGGATACACATATACAGGATGATAAACTAAAATTGCTCCTTAGAAGAAGTAGTTATAGCAGGTTCCATTAATTATATTTCCTGAAAACTTTAGCATAAATGAACTCTTTCGTATTTGATCCAATGAAAAAATGTTTGTAGTTACACCAGAAGTAACCACCAACTATATTAAACAAAACTGATTACCATATTTCGTGGTTAAATGATTATTAATTTATGAAACTATTAAATATTATGATTTTTTCGAATTTTAACTACTTTATCTATTATTCATTTGGAGTCTAACCTTAATTCTTACAGTTGCTCAACAAATTCAAAACATTTTTTTCAGAATGGTCTTCCTTCAGTAGAAAACCCCTACATCTTCAACGGGGACTTCATAGATAGAGGCAAAAGGGGTCTGGAAGTATTTCTGATCCTGCTTCTCTGCTTATTGGCAATCCCTGGGGCAGTTTATCTCAACCGGGGTAACCATGAAGACATTATTATGAACCAAAGGTAAATAATAACTTTAATGTTTTGCTTATTGGAATAAAATCACTAGAAAGGTTGACTGAAGCAGATGATGGTAAATTATAAATTATTTAGAACAAACGAAACTTCTTCACTAAAAAATAGGACATTCTTTTCTATTCTATTCTTATGTAAACCGTTACTTAAATAATACGGAAAATAATAAATTTAATTTTGATACTTTACAATACTTGGATTATTTTTAAAAGAAATTAGCTGCTTATATGAAAATTTGTATAAATCCATTTTGTTTAAGAACCCATTTTTTACTGAAATATTCTATATTTGTATAAATAATTTCTAGTAAGTAGTAACGTCTTGTTAAACTCGATTCCCAATAGACCAACATAAACAAAGTGCAATTGACATCGCCATTGATAGACACAGCTTTAGAAAGCTACACACATTTTAAAATACGTACAATAAATATATATTTTACATTTCTCTTTCAGCAATCTTATAAAAATTGAATTCTCTCCCTTTTGCCACAGATTTGTCAGAACAATTTTGTTTTGCAATTTCCAAAGGTTTAAGATATAATAAAATTTGATCAGCCCGGCGCTGAATTTTTAGAGAAGTGTATAGAGAGACATTGCCGAGGGAATAAAATTATCATAGAGACAAGGAGGCGCTTATATAACCGGATAAGATAAAAAGTCATGTTGGCTGAAAATATATAGAAGGAAAATGGGGCAGATAAAAACGTCGCATCCTTTTTAAATTTTCCAATATTTTCTGCGAGTTAGGAACCTGAAGACGCAGAACATTGACTCTTGATTCAATCTGAGCAGTTCTACTGTCGCATCGAAATATTCCTGCCGATACTCGAAAAGAAATATAAATATTTTCGGGTAATATAAATTTATAGGACAATTATTATTTTCAGATGTTGTGAAATCAGAAATAACAACTGTGTTTGGTTTATCAATACCACTATCAACTTTCAGTATTCTTTTCATAAAATTTTCTTTACTCAAAAAATAGTCTTATATGTAGCCTTCCGCCATAGTGCTTGACCTCCATCCTCCTTGTATTTTAAGAAAAGTGAGGTCACCACTGCCGTCAACTAAAAGGGTAGCAGACATTCGTCGTAATGCGTGTCCACTGTACTCTTTCCAATTGAACAGCTTCAAAAATGTTGCTACATCTTGCAAGACGGCACTGATTTTATGAATACCGACCACCATTCGATGACACTTTCCACTAACATACCTGAGAAATAATCGACATTCTACTAATCCGGGTGGACATAAAGCAACATATTTTCGATAAAAACTTAAATAATTGTCTCCCAGCACAGTAAAAGAACGTGGTTTCTTGGTTTTGGTATTGGAAATTTTTATAATCAAGGCGGATTTCAAATCTTTAACATTATCAATATACTTTGAATATTTGGTTATGTCAATCCCCTTCTTTATATCCAATATTGACCGCAACATTGTGACCAAAGCGTTGACGGTTTCATTTGATTTGCTAAGATTGAGAAATACACAATCAATACATCTTCCGAATACAACTTAATGTTTTTTTCTTTGTATCAATCCATAAACGTTAGTAGACACATTCATAAATTTCTCGAGATTTCTTTGGAAGAAGATTCAAAGAAACCTCTTTCGCACACTCCAGTGTCTCCTCAAATACACCTAAATCTTCATTAGATCCCATTTTTAGAGAGTTTTCAGCAAATTGAAGCACAAACAATCACAAATGAACTCAATTAGCAATATGGCGACTAATTGTTAACAAAGTGTCCATGACTACATCGATATATCCTACTTATCTACTTTGCTTTATTTTCCAAATTTGGTTTGAATAATTTCAAAGCACAAATTAATATAAATGGGGTTTTCGGTTGGAGAAAAAATAGCATGTTTTATTCGGATTAAGTGTCTCGCCACAAAAGTAACTTTTAATCCTAATATAACAATATACTATTTCCATTCGAGAACTTGATTTTTTTACTAACAAAAAAGGCATTGTACAACAAAATCTACTATATTTTCGGTGTTTTTTGTTTATTCAAATAATTGAAATTATAAATTTAACTTCTTGGAAATATAAAACTACAAGGATAACTTAACCTTAAGCGATTTATTTTCACCCAAAGAAACTGTCCTCAACAACATTCGTTTCTAGTCATTGTTTTTAAAAACATTTTTTTATATTTTCAGATACGGCTTTATTAGAGAAGTTCAGTCCAAATATAGGGTGAGTATTACCTTTTATTATATTACATAGTTAGTACGTAAAATAGAACACATTCCGAGAGATTTTAACAGAATACGAGACTGATTTACTTCATTGCACTGCTTTAAGAATTAATTTAAAATAACTTTATTTTAATACTATGGAAAGTAATAATAAACCAACATATTTTAGAAATTGTTTTCCTCTTTATTATGGCCACAAATTCATTAAAATATTAAGAAAACCACATGATTTTTTTCTTAAAAGGAAATACCTTTCTGTGACAGGCAGCGCTTATCTTTTATTAATAAAAGAACCAGTTTATCTTCCTTAATACAGCAACGCCCACACCGTAAATTAAAAGCACTTTGCACCGGGAACAGTTTCACGTTTTTTTTTACGAAACAAGCCTTCCCAGGTCGAGCAACAAACATCTAGGACGTAATTCCACCTACATCACTCCAATTAATGGCATCTCCCTAAGGAAAAGTGTTATTAAATTTCCAAGCCATGAAAAGGGAAAGGTTTTCTAGACCACAAGAGGAGTGGCGAAAGAGACGAGTATCATTCAAAATCAAAGAGCACTTGACGTTCAGTGCAAATGAATTACGGAAAATTACAGAAACTTACTTTTTAGTATCTAGATTTTATATAGATTCATTTCTTGCTTCAACAGTAATTCAAATAGTTTTTATAAAAATGATACCTAGCTCTGATGATATAAATAATTTTAAAAATGTTTAATTTTCTAAATAGAACACCCTGCAATATTTTCTGCTCCATTTGACACAACAATACATTGTCCCATTAGGAAGTTTAGATTAGATAATATGTTTAACTGATAAATTAGGTCGTTCTGAACAATCGTATTTAATTTACGTCTATTCAACGTAAATTATAAATCCGTTCCAGACTTTCTTCTCATTAGTAAATACAATGCCATTTTGCGCAAACGTTCAGGGTTTAGGTATTACCAAGCTTAATTGAAAATTAATGTTTGTTTTCAATTATATGAATGCGGAATAAAAATACAACTTAGTAAACTTTTTATCTCTCTCACAATTAGCTTAGGTAGCCTAAAACTTTCAGGAGAAAAGCCAAATACACCAGGGAAACCGCACCAGAATCGATTCAATCACTCTTGAGATATCTAAGGCAGATTTGAGTTACACTAGAGTTTTAGAGTAAAGCCGGGCACCCATCTAAAAATAAACGGAAACTAGGGAAGGCAAAAACCTTATGAACCCACACGAGTCGGCCAATTTCCAATATACATTCATAATTAGTGTGCAATACATTAGCAATAGATTCTACGATCAAATATTAATTTATTTATTCCTATAAACAAGGGTCGAAAAATACTTCCTGAGGGAGCTACGCCCCCCTAAAAGAGGCTTCAGGAGATCATATTTTTCAAAATATTTCCAAAACCAGTTAACGTATCATTATGAATTTTAATGAAAACTTTTTAAAAATTTTAGTCAAGGGTAGAATATTTTACGGTCCATAGACGATTAACGGAAAATGGATCTTTTAAAAAACTGGCCACCAAATGATTATAATTTTGAAAATGCTTTAACTCAATTTGATGATCATCGTAATATCAGCATCCGCACGGTGTCAAGAGACACTAATATTCCACGAACAACTTAACAGTACATAATGAGAAATGTAAAAAACGTGTATTAAAACTAATTCAAAGCTCTCATTTTAGTTTTCACGAATGGTCACTATCCAAGGCCTTTATCCTTATCATTATCAGAGGGTACGAGTATAAGACTTAAGAAATGCAGATTTTATGCGTAGGATCGAATTTTCCGAAGGTAGTTCGGCGTAATAATTTCCAACACAGGTCTTCAGTTAATTTGTGGGCGTGGATTATCGGTAACAAATTAATTGGACCTATTGAAATTCCAAATCGGTTAAACGGTGAAACTTATTTACATTTTTTACAAAATAAATTATTTAATTTATTGGAAGATGTACCTCTGAATATTAGAGGAAACATGTACTTTCAGAACGATGGAACTCCAGCTCATAATAGTAGGAATGTGATAAACTGGTTGAACGAATATTTTCCATTAAGGTGGATTGGACCAAGCGGTCCCATTGCCTGGCCACCTCGTTCACCTGACCTTATTCCTCGAGATTATTACTTATGAGGACATTTAAATAGTATCGTTTGTAACACCAAAATAGAATAGAAGAATTATTAGAAAAAATAAATTTGGCCTCTAATATGCTACGGAAAAATGAATTTGAAATTCTTCGTGCTTCTCATGGAATAAGGCGTAGAGCTATGCTATGCATTCGACAAAATGGCACTTATTTTGAGCAATTATTAATAATTTCTTTATTATCTGATTGATTACAAAACTTCAGTTGACTACTGTGCATATCAGGTTTGTTTGTGTAGTAAATTACTGATAGTTTGCAATCTATTTCTACTACGAATGTACGGATGCCAACAGTCTACGAATGGTTTGTGATTTTAACGATGCAAGAATGGTTTTTAAATTTATAGTTTGAAATGAAGAAGATGGACATGACATATAACTTCTAAATCTAAATAGATATTTTTCGAAAACGAAGCATTATATGGAAGTAAATCTAGTCCATTTTTGTTTTGAAAAAAAAAAAACATTTCTATCATCGTTTGATGTTTACCTTTGAAAATATTAGAATTATCATCAAATTGATTTAAGGTATTTTCAAAATTATTTGGTGGTCTTCCTTGACCGCACAGTTTTCTAAAAAATATATTTTCCGTTAATTGTCTATGGACCGTAGAAAATATTCTATGTCCAGGATGCCTCCGATTCGGGTATCCCCGTTGGTATTTTCTTGGTGCCCCTAGTGCTCTCCCATTACAAAATCCATACACAAAATGAACATCTATTAAAATTATTATTAAAATTCTGTAGTTTTTCTTTAGATTTTACTTAATATCTAATACAGCACCGTAAAGTGAAAGCAAATTATTTCAAGTAAACAAATGTTTGCTTTCATGGCCTACTTACCTATTCATGTAATCCTTATCCATTCTTGAGATTATGTAATAAAACTTTAAAATCCATTTTTATCGAAAACGAAGCATTTTATCGAAGTAAATCAAGAGTATATTTTTGTTGTGAAAAACTCATATCTATCATTGTTTGATGTTTAAATTTGAAAATATTGGCATGCAAAAAATTGGGGGCGCATTTTACCCGTAAGCCCCCCTGCCTGAGACACCCCTGACTAAAATTTTTAAACAGTTTTCGCGTAGTTCATTAGAACATTCATTGAGTGTCTAACATACCAAAATTCATAATGATACGTTAACTGGTCTTGGAAATATTTTGAAAAGTATAATCTCCTGGGGCGTAGCTCCTTAGGTAGCATTTTTCGACCCTTGTTTATAGGAAAATATAATCTTATTTTTAATTGTAGAATCTACTGCTAAAGTATTGCACACTCATTATGGGACACCTTGTATTTGGTATAACATTTACTTTAGATGTCAATTTCTGCATAAGAAGGTATTTTTTCTACGATTTAAAACGCGATGAACGACATATACAAATTTATTAAAGTAACTGTTATAAATAATATTATATGAGTATATGAATTTTATGAACAAAAATTATTTAATAACAATTTGTATAGCTATCTTTTCAGTGATGATTTGTAAAAGATGACAAGTGATAGAGTTTGCAAAGATGGCACATTTCCATTTCCTTTTTGGTAATACGTGAGATCAAAAATGGCACAGAATAATTAATCTCATATTTCATATTTAAAAAAACGAAAATCAAATAAAATCGCGTGTAGCTCAATAAGTTATAATATAACTTAATCCTTAGTATCACATTTTGCACTAGAATCACCCGTTAAATATTCTAGACGACTTAGGAAAGTCCCACAAAAACTTAATTTATGTGATAAAAACATTATTAATATTAGTATATTATACAGGACATAAAATATAATGACTCATAAAAGAGATTTATTGGTTATGCACTGAACATACGTATAGTACATAAAATTTGAATTAAGATTTAATCAAGTGCTACTGGTTCTACAGCTACACGCAGTGGAATGAAAATTATTAAAGGAAATAAAATATCTGTATATTATAAAAAATATTTGGTACCTAGTATGTCATGTGTGTATGACAAAAATGTTTCTATTTCCATATATATTTTCCCGTTAATTGCAATTTTGATGTATTATGGTTCAAACGAAATATATTTGCTATGTAAATAAAGATAAAGTTCAGCCATATTTTCAGACAGCACGAAAATTAAAATAAAATTGTAGAGGTACAAAATGAATTTAAAAAATCTGTTTCCATAATTCAGAAGTTCAGTTTGGAATGTCTGAAAGTTCTACCGATTTAAACATATTTTAATTTGAGGTAAATTTTATCAGTTGCATGAACAGGATTTTTCTTCTATATTTGCATGGAAGCTCATGATTAAAATGTGGCGTATATTTTATTTGCTTATTATCTTTTCCTGATTCTTAAAATAGCTATTTATGTAACAAGACGTTATCCCAGTCAGTTTTAGCATTTCTAGTATGATAAATTTTGACAAATAATCAATCATTAATTACACTAGCAAATAAATAAACAAAATTATGAGCATTTGTTTACAATAACAGCAAAGATCAGTAGTAATGCTAGATTAAAAGCAACTTAAAAAATGAAATAAAAAAATAAGTATTATTGGAAACAAAATTGTTTTCAGAAAACTTGATCTAATCGGTATATTTTCGCGCAAAAAAAACTTTAATGAAAAAGTAACTGAAAAGTTTACTTCAAACAAAAGCAAAAGAATGGACTTTCACTATAAAAAATAATGTTGCGTACATTCTCCTTATATTTCAATAGTACCTACTTAAAATAAAACTACCCAATTACATTTGATTTTTTTTTCAATACTTTGCACCTAAATTTTTCCGCCTCTCTGGTATGGAAGCCAAGAACCGCCACTGGTTACATCCATATAATTATTATCGATTAATGGCTCCTGTTCGTTTAAAACTTTTCTGGTGTTTATACGATTAACTGTTAACTTTTTACATACAGCTTATATGAAATGACAGTTTCTGTGGTTCCATCACACAACTGTGCTCTCATCCCTAATTAACAGACTGATTCGATTTGGGCGATATTTTCGAAATAATTAAATAAAGCAATTACATTCTATCTAGGCGCACATTTTATTTTAAAATATTGCTTACCAGACTCTCTATACTCTATTTTAATCTGTTTTATATAAACAAACCGAAAAAGTTCCGTCTCGAAGATTGCTATACATTAATAAGTCTATGTTTAAATAAATAAACGATTTATTAACACGAGTATACGGATATTTGTGTTACAATTACATATTTTACTGTAGTTTAAAAATGTCTTTAAAAAAATTTAATATACGACTAACGCCATACAAATGTAAATATAAAATACGGGTTAAACACTGCCCACCGAGCGTCTTACCAAAGTTTACAGAATATTTATTCTGTAAACTTTGATCTTACTACCCATGTCCACACTGTTCTCACTTCAACTATTTAGGCTTCCTTCCAGAATTCCCCACCTAAGCGCTTATTTTTGTGCTTCCTTCTACCAACTGTCAATATTATGTTTTCATTATTGTTGTATAACACCAATGTAACAGGTGACGTTGAAGTTGATACGATAAGTACGGTTTTGCATATTATCTTAAGTCTTAATTTAGTCAATTTTTATTTAAGTCTTAAAATAATTCATTTTAAGTCTTAACATAATTATTAATAATTAATTAAGTCTTAATATAATTATTTAATTTAAGTCTTAAGATAAATTAAGTCATAAGATAAATAATTTTTTAACTCCAATACCTTGCAATTTCTAAACATGGGTTTATAAGGTAAACATTTTTTAATCTTCCTCTGATTTTTTGTGAACTTGTGAATCACGCTGTATGTAGGTATCTACGGACAGATAAGTACAATCCTGACCCCATCTGAACATTAATATATTAAGACAGATGGACAATAAGAGCTCGGCACTTTATAGAATTAAATTTCACCTCGACAATTAAGTAATTACAACTTAGTGACCTTTCCGAGTTCTTCTCCAATTGGAAAGCTTTCACCGTCCGTATTTACAAACTTTTATTCTTCATCCCGCATTTATGTAATTATCAGCGAGGTTTTCGTCTCTTCAGATATGATAACTCTATTTGGGTTGTCAAAACTTTATGGGCCTGGTTAAGATGTAATTCAGGTGGTCATTTGTAGAAGCATCACGTTTTTAGAGTTTCTCAAGTTTGATTCCATTTTTGTTTCCGATGTCATAAGTAAGGGAATGCTGTATCTAACGTAATCAGTGATGACTGTAGTCCAGATCCAAGATAGGAAGCAGTGAGTCAAGAATAAATCAAACCGCAATGTTTACCGCTTAATCTAATAAAATAATTTGTGTATTCAATAAAATAATTTGTGTATTCTCCACATGGAAATTGTAATGTGCCGTTCATTTTCCATACTGTTCCGAAAATATGTTCGGCCTGCGTGCGCATACTTGATACGTTCAATTTTTAAAAGCGCTCATCGAAAGAGAAAAACTGAGGTTAATGAAATTTCACCCAGTCTCAGTTTCCAACAGAATGTCAATGCGTATCATAAGCGTATTAATGAATCGTCGTGTGTTAATGATCAATCTAATATTCAAGACAGTCGTAAATGATTTAACAAATCGAGAATGTTGTATGATACACAATGTGTATATTATACGAATTCGAGCACAAAACGTCGTGAATGGAGCCGTTGAAATATGCAGTGGAATATCCAGGGGCAAAATTGCAGAATATCACTTTGATATAAATGGGGTGACGCTGACGGAGATGAAGATGTTGACGAGGATAATGAGGACAAAGAAGATGAAGAGGAGGATAATGATGATGAAGATGATGGTGATGATGATGATTATGAGGAGTAGGAGAGGATATAGAGGAGGTGGAAAAAGAAGAGGAGGAGGAGGATGATGATGATGAGGATGAAGTATCATAACGAACCTCTAACGACAGCTGATGAAGCTTTTGTATCAGTTTGTTGTTTTCGTTTTGAAACCTCAAAAAAGTTTCTTAAGATCTTAATTTGCAAATTGACAGACCAAAAGTGTTTTGGGGCCATAAGTTCAGTATGTAAAGTGTATGAATCCATAGTCAAGCATATATAAAATAAGTTGTCTTGGTTAAATATCACTTAACTTTAATAAGGCTTCTTTTAGATATTTGTAATTTAAATACATCTAGGTTCTTTGGCTTACAAAAACAATGTTCTAATGTGAATTAAAAAGTGTCTTTTTTATCCAGTAAAAAGGTTTATTTATGCTAAAGGTGTTTTTTACTTAGTTATAAACCAAAGGTACTGTGTCGAATTATATACAAATTGATGAGTTGCCATAAATTGAAAATACATAATTTAGGTTACGGAAAGTTTAAGTAAATTGTAAATTATATTAATTTAAACATTAACATAGCATATTATTTTCTACTAAAGATTAAAACATGTATATTCGTTTCAGAAAAACTCAGAGAAACTTCTAAAACTCATCGAAGGAGTTTACAGGTACCTGCCTTTGGGGACGATAGTCAACAATAAAGTTCTTATAGTACATGGAGGTATATCAGACAGCACTGACTTGGAAATGATTCGAAGTTTAGATAGGGGCAAGGTTGGTATACCTAGTATTGTTTATATCTCTATAAATATTAATTTCAATCGAATGCATTAAAGTATAAATCATAATATTTATACAATACCAAAAGGTCCCACAAATTACTGAATTCATGTCGTTCTTTATTTGATACAATTTAAATTGTTTCTTCTATAACAAAATAAATGGACATACCTAGGTATTTGTAAAAGATTAGTTCTTTTAGAACTTATAGTTCAAATAAACTATTGTATTTTCAGATTACAAGAGTTTAATTTATTTTCAAAAAAAAAAATTTTTCAATTTTAAGCCAAATATTACCTGAATAAAGGCAGACACTAAACCTGAAAAACCATAATTCTGTTAATAAAAAAAAATGTTACTTCAAACCGTCTACTGTTTATATTAGTGGAATATATTTATGTACATACAGGGTAGAAAAGTACCGATGGTCTATCTGAAGTTACGTGAGAGCGATAAAGTAAGCCATAGAAATCCATGCGATAGAGAAGGATGGCTATAATGAAGGCCTCTCATAGTCACCGCCCGTTTCGCTCTTCCACAAATAAGATCCACTTCTTATTTGTGGAAGGGCGAAATGGTCGTTGACTATTAGATGCCTTCATTATAGCCTCCTTGTCTATCACATGGATTTCTATGGCTTACTTTATCGCTCTCACGTAACTTCTGATAGACCATCGGTACTTTCCTACACTGTATATCTAGCAAGATGTAAATAATTCCCCAAATAATATTTTGACTTCTACCACTACATAAACTGTAAATTTACATCTTAAGGCTTCCAATTCCTTTTGCGCTAACTTTTACATGTTTATAAAAAATAAAAGCCACCTCTGGAATGGGCGTCTCAAATTCATCATTTACTAATGAGAAAAACATACGTATGTGTATGTAACGTATACATTTTCATATAAATAATACGAGATAGCCAAATTGAAACTCATTATTTATTCAAGCGGTCCAAATTTTCTCTTCTTTCCATGCTCATCGAGCTCGGTTGTTTAGAGGTAAAAGATACAGGATGATTCAGCTTTTGCTTAAAAGTATCTAATTCAGAATACAATACAAAATTCAAATTATTTTCACTGACACATAAGTTACATGTTGAAATAATAGAACTCATATAACAATCTAGTAAATGGGAAATATTAAATTTAATCTTCTTATAGTAATTATAATGTTCATTTCTCTCAAAAACAGCTAACACTAATAAATTATATTAGAACATCTCATGCTCTTTATGCAAACGACTCATTAGTTTTTGCCCAACTTCTTATCGAACATAACCGACTTCAAATGCACTCACGATATGGTATTAGAAGTTTAATACCTCTCAATCCTAGCACAATTCCATATACAGGGTCGGAAAGTCCCCATGGTTCATCAGCCGTTACGTGAGAGCGATAAAGTAAGCCATAGAAATCCGTGCGATAGAGAAAGATGGCTATAATAAAAGCGTCTAATAGTCACCGCCCATTTCGCCCTTCCACAAATAAGAAGTGGAAGTGGGGAAGGGCGAAATGGGCGGTGACTATTAGGCGCCTTCATTATAGCCATCTTTCTCTATCGCACGGATTTCTATAACTTTCTTTATCGCTCTCACGTAACGGCCGATGAACCATGGGGACTTTCCGACCCTGTATAAACAATCTCAAACTCCAATGCTACATACGCGACATTTCGATGACATCAGTGGAAAGTCAGATGGATCTCAAAATAACCATTAACAGTAAATTTATATTCTGTTCGTTGTCTTGTCAGTCAATATGGATCATTGCACAAAAATGTAATACTTTGCATGTAATTCATATGTGTTGTCTCATAAGAAAAAGCAAACAATCTTTGAACAAAAAAATAACAATAAATTACCAACGTAGTTATATAAATGTCAAAAAATTAATCAAACAAATAAAAAATAAACAATAAATATGTGAAAAACAATACGTTATAAAATAAAATTATTGATTTGCTGTTATTTAATTGAAACATTCTAGTACGAAAAAAAAATTAAGGTAATTTTACTTACGAGCATCAGTTCCATTCACTGGATAAATTAAAAATTATATCTTTTTTACCCTTCTAATTTACAGCCAACTTTTATAAGAAATACGGCGACTAATTTACTAAATTCGTCGTAGAAGTCGTATTTTTTGCAGGCGAAATTATTTTCTTTAAAGCTCGTTCATTTTTCAACATCCTCGCATTCCGCTCATTTAGAAAATTAAAATTTATTTTGAGCATCGATCACGTAACGACCTCCAAGAGCTATTAATCATATAATTAAGTAATACATCATTATTCGGTACATGACTGATGAGATGAGCTCTAAATTACCCTAGACCCTTTTGAGTACAAAAAGTTGTAGTCCGTTCAACTATTTCTCCCCGATGGATCAAGCCTAACTAAACTGATCTATTAACAATGAAGTTAAAACTATTAACGTGTGTGCCTATCGTTCTAATTATAAGAAAATTAATCAAAGTTTTCTTAAGTATATTTAATCTTTTAAAAATATTAATAGGATCTTGTCGAGTATATTTAGTTTTCTAACACCAAAATAATAGTTTCCTTTTGAATAAAATTATATTAGAATATGTTTAAAAACTATTTATGCATATTTGTACCTACTACTTCATTATTTGTCACTTACCAAGCAAAGTTTAGTCACTGAAAATTTTCTAAATTCAAAACATGGCTAAAGGAGGATCTACCAATAAATCTGGTATTTCAGATAATTTATGTGAAATACCCCTCAGACAAATTATCAGATTTATTGAATGATCTTCCTTTAGCTATTCGCCACAACATGTGGTTCGGCACGATGAAGCATCCCCGCATGTTACTTTAAAAATCGGTACCATTTGAATGAGCATTTTCCAAATAAATGGATCGGTAGAGGAAATAAAGCTCCTGAGAATTGGCCACCACCCTCACCGGACCTAACACCATTATTTTCTATAGTCCTTCGGTTCTTATAAATCCAAGGATGGTGGAGATCTGTTTAGGAAAAATATAACTCTTGTTTATTTGTTTACTTTGATGAATATGCCCCGAAATTTTTTTTCAATGTCGCTGTATACTCTGTAAGGACATATTTTTATGCACAAATTCTGTTATTTGAAATGTGGGATGAATATCGCCCCTTTATTGTGTACTTATTGAGAATATATGGCTTGAATCCACACAAAGGGTTTTGAATAAACTGTTTACTAACTATTTTCCCTGATCTAATTTCAGTACGCCTCATTATTACGCCCACCTCTTAGTGATAGTTCGGCCCCGGGGGCGGAAGTCATTAACAAAGTGGAATGGAAACAGGTAAGAACACTTTATTACTCAACATAATTCAAGTTGGTTTTCTCTACCCGAATTTTAAACAAAATTAGTTCATGTGTAAAAAAATAAAACACAAGCTTTTAGTGACGTGATTTTATTTTCGTAATCTTCTCAACAAACCCTTTCATTTGATACCCATATCATGGGGGTGCATAAAAAATAACTGGTCCGCCATCTTTGGGAGTCCGCCATATTGGATTTATAATGACGTCATTAGCTAACCATGCATTGTCATCCAAACTAAATTAAAATTCAGTTGACCAATACTAACAAGGCAAGTTAAATAAAAACTTGTAAAAAAGTATGTAATCGCACACTAGTAGGAGTAGAAATAATCAATCTACGTTTCCATAGTAACTGCAGGTTTGGCGGTTGTTGACACTGCCAGCAAAGAAAGACGCTACAGAATTTAATAACAAAATTCTAATTTTATGCGCCCATTTATATATTATTTTAAGGAATTGAATGAAACAATAAAAGCAATTATGCTATTTATTAACATTTTACAAACATTTTTTTATTTATTTATAATTTTGTGTAGAATTTCAGTCATGTAAACTATTGTACTGCAGTAAAGTACATAATTTAGCTGACGTTTTTTCAACACAAAACGTTTCCGCGAATTGAGTTCAACTAATGCTTCGAAACGGCCTTTCATAACAGTACTTTACTAAAAAAAATTACTCCATTGCTATGTACCTTTGGTACTATAAATATGAACTATATTTTCTCTTTGCATCTGTAAATTTATTAGCTCCAATCTCAAACACTGTTAAGAGTTAATCGACTATTAAATAGTTCTAAACAAGGGTAATACTTACCTTAAGTGTATGTTTACACCGACACAAATAAGTTTGCGTCTGAGTCTCAGTCTCCTGGATAAAAAATTAATAACTATTTCCTGTAGGTGTTTGATATCTTGTGGTCGGACCCTCAAGAGACAAAAGGTTGCGTACCTAACACCTTAAGAGGAGCCGGAACATATTTTGGACCAGATGTTACAAAAAAATTCTTGGAAGAGAACCGCCTACTGTATATCATAAGATCTCACGAGTGTAAACCAGAAGGATACGAAGTCTGCCACAACAACACAGTAAATAAGACTTACTATTTGTAATATTATTTTAAGAATAACAAAGCGAAGCCAAATTATGATAACATATTATCATATATTAGGTCATTTAAGTATAAAATAGGTCAGATCTCGCCTATCCTGACTAAAATTATTTTTTTACTTTTATTTTTAGCATATCTAGACAATGGTATCAAATATTTTAGGAACATTTTTTAAATTAATTTGATTTATCTAGTTTAGTTCCTTTGAAATAAAGTGAAAATTAATGTTAAATAAATGTCTATTGGCTTCTTTATGTTAGAATGCTTTCTAGGTGATCACGATATTCTCCGCATCGAATTACTACGAGGTGGGCTCGAACAATGGGGCCTACCTAAAACTGGTCGGACCTGAACTAGATACTCATTACGTCCAATACATGGCCAATTCCGGTAAGAGGAAGCTCAATTTTTACCAAAGAATGGGACTGGTGGAGTCAGGGGCAGCTAAGGAACTGAAGATGCAAATCATGAATAACAAAAGGAAGATTGAAGAGACATTTTCAGCTGCAGATCCAGAAAATACAGGTATCTAAGACAAATAGAATAGCCTCTAAGTAAATTATGGAATAGCTAAACGCATAATAAAGTTCTGCCGATATAATTAATTAGTTGATAGTTATTAAACATTTACAAGTGTTCCTTATATTCTTTGCAAACATTTATCTTTTTCCATGTTTTTATTCAATTTCACTAATTTCATATTTATTCAATTTCATAATACCTTCTTTTCTACTCCCATTTAGTCTCTTAAGACTTAAACAGGAAGACCCTAACCTTGGTCTCATATTTCTTCCTATCAACAAAAATTAAAACTTGTTGGAAGCAAATGCAAATCTTCTGATCAATTAAAATGTACTTCATTTACGCATTGATGCCTTCTGAAGCTAATAGGTACCCATATGAGTAATGCTCATTTGCTAATACCTTGTTATTAATTCATATTAAAGCTTATTATTGCAATTCAAAAAACGAGTTCTATCGAAATGTGTAACATATTGGAAAGATGAGTAAAATAAAACTACGTTTGGAAAGCGTTTACCTACCCTCTACATAATAATAATTTTATTAAGTTTACTTTTGAAGGTGATTTATTTCTAGGTTACATATCAGTTACGGAGTGGTGCGTAGCGCTAGAGAAGGCTACTGGTTTGCAGATTCCATGGCGTATGCTGAAAGACAAATTGGTTTCTATAGACCCTGAAACTAATAAAGTAAAATATCAGACAACATTCGAAATTAAAAGTGATAAGCTCAATGTAAGTACTTATTTATTATCATTATTTAAATATAAGCCGCAAGCGCTTCACTTAGAAAATTTGTTATTAAAGAAAAATACATTTTACTATAATTTTGGTTTTTTAATTCAGTATGTTGACTGTTTCGATTATTTTTGTTCATAGCATTAAACTTTTCACAAATTTCATTTCTTCCTGAAGTTAAGAAGTCAAATAATTATTATTTAATTTACGAGATTTATCTAATTGGCAAGCCAAAGTTTAATGGCTGGTACTATTAGGTACTATGCGAAATAAAATTAGCCATATCTCTCTACTTAACTGTTTATTCATATTACTCGCAAACTATTCTAGTATCACGTTGTTTTTTTTAATATAAAATAATTAAATATAGAAATAAAATTCAATAGAAAAAGAATTATAGAGGGTGTTTCATAATATGCAAATATTTTAAGGTGTTTAGAAAGTAATTTTAGAGGGGGGAGGGGGGTATTTCCAATATATTTTTACTCCTTGGTATTATTTTTCTCAGAACTTTTCTCTACATTAGCAAATTCCAACAAGACAAACTTTTTTACTCTTCCCATTTCTTCGTATATTTAATGGTTTACGAACAAAAAAATAAATTATTTTTCCTTGCCGATTAGCTACCTACACATAATTAGTATAACAGTTACCAAAAACGATTGTCATTTTTGACATTTTTTTTGCAAAAATTCTTTTTTTATCAATAGGAAAAGTTAAGCAAATATGAACTAAAAATTTAATAAAAAAAATAAAAGCTAATTTTTAGGCCATTTTGAGATTTGAATATTTTCTCAGGGGGGGGGGGCTCAAATCGAAAAAATGTATTGGAAGTATTCCCCCTAAAATTACTTTTTATACACCACCTTAAAATATTTGCACAGCATTATGAAACACCTTGTATAACAATAGAATGAGATGAAATGAAATTATTGAAATGGAAACTTTACTTTTTTAGTCTGTTCAGGGTGCAACTACGGTGGTGGAAACTCTTTACAGAAACAAATCAAGTCTGGAAGCCATATTCAGAATTATAGATAAAGATAATTCAGGTGAGACATCTAAACATCATTATGTAGTAATTTATATATTAAATTTGTTTAACAGGAAAACTCTCACGATATAAATTCTACCCTCTTGTTCTTTTTGGAAAAGACTTTTTTACCTCTCTAAATGAGGTTGATAATGTTTCCAAAACATTATAGAATAACACATTCGAGTGTATTTCACAAATAATTTTCGTTAATGTTAATTCAAACTGCAAAAGATTTTAAAGAAATACCACAATTATTGCAAAGGAAAAGTTGATTCCTATTCTTAGTAGTATCTTTTTTAGTAGAAATTATACCAAAGTAGCGATACACCAACTTTTTTAAATATCACGCTTATAATTTTTTACATTTTTAGTAACATTTCGGCCAGAGAACTCATTATTACCAGTTTTTTAAATAAGTGCACACTGGACAAAAATTACTTTTTAATTGAATTTATTACTTACAGGATATATCAGCCTGGATGAATTCTCTGAAGCTTGTAATCTGATAAAAAAACACATGCCCTGTGAAATGACTCATGAGCAGTTGGAGGAAATTTGCCGATTGATGGATTTAAACAAGGACGGGCAGGTAGATCTGAATGAATTCCTTGAATCCTTCAGAATGGTCGACCCTGAAAGTCGAAAGAAAAACCAACCTGGTTCCCCAGAACCATACGATGGCAATATTTCCACAAACACTTTGCAAGTAAATGTTCCTTCCACTCCAGACGACACGTCCAATTCTAGTCCTCCAATTTCCCCAGCTATGATCAAACCTCTTAACCTTATGCCGAGAATTACGGAAGAAAAAAATGATCATAACAACATGAATAATGTAAGTCCCATAAAGAACCAAGAAAATAGTGTGAGTGTATTAGTACACACTCCTCCTGAAGAGGGTCAACCAGCCAATTCCATGCATACGAACAGTCTGCAGATGTCGCCTGTGTTGAGCAGCAGAAGAGGATCACAGATTTAAGAATTTCGTCTAATATGAAAAAAGGGATCAATTTTTGTTGAAATTATTGAGGCTGTTTTTAATTTTATATATGTTAGATTGTCAGAGAAAAACTATATGAATTTATTTGTATATATGTCATGTGTAACAGATGTATATGGAATTATTACTTAAGTTTGGCGAAAATAAAATGATTTTTTTATAAATCTACATCATTTATGTAATAAATCTTTTACCCAAAATGTAACCTTTCGTTTCAAATTTTCGAGTTGAAGTACCTACCTATAAGATGAAGCAGTCTTAAAAAGTTTAATTTATTTTTCAAAATGGCAACAAAAAACTAGTTAAGAGTCATAATTAAATGAAATCCACTTCCATGGCAAAATTGCCTTAAAAATGGAAATTAGAAAGCTTAGATTTGCAATCCGGGAATCAGGTAGATATTATTGACCTTGACAAATAGCATTGCAATTTTTTAGATGTCTTAAATTATAGAATTTTTACCTAAGAAAAGATAAAGTAAAAAACTAACGGTAGGTAGTGGTCTGTGCATAACATTTTATACAGGGTGATTTCACTTTAAATACAGATACTTTAACACAACAGGATTTTCTCTAATTACTTATACCTATTTCTTTAATTAATCTAATTAATATTAACATCATCTGAATACTGGTTTTCTGTTTTTTTAACCAGAGACATAACTAGAGATCTGCCTGGGTAATACAAGGCCCACATAAAAATATGCTGGTCAATCCTGTGGCCCACTCAAAAAAGGAGGAGGGCCTCTTTTTTAAGTGAATTTTATAGTCCAGTATACAACGGTAAATATAGGGTATTACCTCCGACTTCTTCACACGCACCGATTTTCATGAAAATTGGTGAGTAAGCTCATTTCACCCTCCTTTACAAAAGTTACATATCCATAATGTGTGCTTATTGTTTTTAGGGGGTGAAAACTACACCTTCTTCCAAAAAACGTAAAAACCATAGATTTAAGTGTATGTATGTCAACAGAATAAGCAATCTTTTATGTTTTGAATAATAACTTTTGATTTGTAGCAACATTTCAACCCTTAAAATCCACCCTTTATAAGGAAAAAAACAAAAATTACTTTTCGCGCCTCTGAAATGTTTTGACGGAGCAATAATGAGGAATTGAATATTTTTTTACTGTTTATGAAATAATGCATGATTTATTGCAACGTTTCAACCCTTAAAAACCACCCTTATTCCAGAAAATAAAGAAAAAAATTTTTTCACATCTTCATAGCATTTATAATGAATGAAAGACTCATCACTGTTTATAATGTTACTGATGATTCATTGCAACGTTTCAACCCTTAAAAACAACCCTTAATGAGGAGTTGAAGAATTTTTACCTGGTTCAAAACACTCAACGATACATTACTAAAATAAACGACATTACTTAAAACTCGAAACTTAAATTATATAATTAGTGAAAGGGAAAATAAAAATTATTTGTGTATTATACAATTATACTTTATTATCAAAAATTTACATAGCATCTAAAGAACTATCATCACTGTCGACTTCCTCTGTTTGGACATGTGCGTGTGTGTGTGTATGCGTATATTACGGTATACGTATTATCGGAAATTATGCCATTTACACGATCCGACAATTTTAACTGAATAATACAATTCGTTTTTTCACGATAACTTTTTTAATTTTTAATATTTTTCATCGCTCCAAAGAGCAATTTGCAGGGAATTGCAAGAGCTACAAATCAAGTTGAAGGGTCTTGAACTCTTCGTTTTCGAGATTTTTAGGTTTTAAGGGCTCAAAGAAAGTGGTCCTTACACGCAAATGCAAACTAAAAAACGTAATATCTCAGTTAATTTTTGCTCTACAGAAAAATTGAAAGAGAGCAAAAATATTATAAAAAAAATACCTTTAATTTTGAACACCTGCATTTTTTACGTATCTTGTTTAGTTTTTGAGTCATTTCGAAAAAAAGGAAAATTTTTTTTAAATAAAAAAAAAATTTTTTCATTATTTTAAACTTTTTTTAAATTTAGGCATTCTAAACCGATCAAACTTGCAGAGTCTATTATTAGTACCTAAATAAAGTCAACTGTACGTGGATTACGGTTAGTTTCTATTTCTATGGTTCAACCATATATTTTATTGTTGATTTTTTCTCCAAAAAAATAAGATGACCATTTTATTTTCATCATAACTACCGAGGTTTTGAGCTACGAAATTTTTTCAAAAATCATTTTAAACGTCTTTCCCAAGCACTTTAAAAAAGGTTATATTCATTTTCTTCGAAAAATTAGTTCGATTATTTTACGGTAAAAGGTTCGATTTTACTTTCCGAAAAATAAACAATCACCTTTAGAGAGTGATAACTCGGTTATTATTACATCTACTGTAATCACCAAAAATCGATTCGTTATTTCAAAAGCTTTATTTTTGCTCTATATGGGTTTTTCGATAAAACGCAAGGTTTTCGAGTTATTTATCAAAAATGGTTGAAAAACATGCACTTTTTAGATGAAAAATCAACATGTGCAATCGCAAATAACTCGGAAAATATTAATTTTTTTGGAAAAAACGTTATGGAGCATTTTTTGCTTAGAATTCATCCCTCTATTGATTTTTGCGATTAAAATGGGTGCCTTCATTGCCACCCCCGAGAAGGGGTGGCATTCATCCCCAGGGTAAAAGCATACATCGGCACTATGTAACTTTTGTTTCTTGGACAATTTTCTACTTACTGTTAAAATTTCACATCAATCGGTGCATGTATCAAGAATTTGGACCTAAAAACCGTCATATAGGTACTAAGCTATTAAAGTACATGATAAAAAGAAAGTGTCTTAATTTCTGTGATTTTTTTAGGTAGGTAATTTAATTTCACAGAGTATGACAAAAAAAATACAGTGAAAAGTGACAGAAGACTAGAGACATGATCCCAATCAATTTTAGAGTCAAGAATGTCAAGAAAATCAATATTACCGAGTAATTAAAAAATAAAACATAATAAAGGTTAACAATAAGTTATTAATTCCTGTTTAAAGAATAATTTATATCAGCATGCAAATTATTTAAACTACTGTTTACTTATTTCAATTCAACCAAATTCGAATTTCAGCAAATCTGATCCATTAATAAATTTAATTTTTATGAATATTATCAGTTATTCAGTTCCAATTAATTCATAAAAAGATCCGAAAGTAAAAGATTTTTGGGTTCCTCCTTTGACGAAGTTTATTTTATTAAAAACTAAAAACAAAAAAAAATACGAAAACCAATTTTAAACAGTACAGTCAAAGACCCTTATCAGCGGGGGATACGTTCCGAAAATGTACCGTGGAATTTTGTATGGAAATATAGGGGATACATTTTTTTACAATATTAATTATTATTATCAGGTTTAGGCAATGGTTTAAAGAACTTAATGATTTTTCTTGTTCTGCAGCTAATAGAAATAGGCCTTTTAATTTGGATTGATATTCCGCTGTGGCATTATTGATTTGCTTCTTAAAAACAAGACTTCTTTCCATAGACGGATCAATTTTTATGCAGAAATCGCAAAGCTCATTTGCCATTCGTAAACCTTCACTCAGGTGGTGAGCGGCATCAGCGACGACTTTTGTCAAAGGACTTTCGGCTTCAAGACACTAAGATTTGTTTGTTTATGCTGTTGATATTCGTTTGTTTTGATAAATACACATTATTCTAAAAATCCAATATGTATCGTTCGTTTTGGATCCGCGAATACAGAATTTTTCACCCGTGAATACGGTAAGTGGTCACAATTTGTTGGTCCGCGAATATGGGAACCGCGAATAAGAAGCTTTGATTGTAATCCAAAAAATATAATTTGTAATCATCTGATAAATTAGAAACATTTGCTTTTAACACATTTTAAATTATCTCTGTTTCTACTCTGTGTTTATATGTTGAAGTTTGTTTTTTTATACATTGTAGTTTCTTTTTCCCTGAAGATGGCATAATTGTCGAAACTAGCAGCAAAAGAAAATAAATGTTCTCTAATTCTCCAATTTATCCCATCCACTAACTAACTTAATTTCATCTGTAGCAGTCTCGCACAAGTCTGATATGAGATGGTGAGGTAGTAGTTTTGACTACTGTTAAGACATAGACATCACCCCTTTTTCCAAAGCTTTTACTAATACGACAGGCACACAAAACAAAATTCCATATGCACTTTTTAAAAGAATATGATACTTATACTTCCCTGTATTGACCCGTTGAAGACATTGAAGCCATCAGAAATGCTCCATCATGTCAGGATTTTTCCCTAACCTCAAAATGAGTAGAAATTTCGATTTTTCGTTGATTTAAGGTTTTAAAATTAAAGTACACAGAGTACAATAGGGTCAAAATAAAAACTTTTTATTCCCGCATTTTTTCTCTCTACAAGATGTCCCGCAATTAATGAAACAAAATTTGGTCACAGATTCTTAAGACAAATTTAGGGGACCAGCATTTTCTATTTTTGCCAAGTGGGCCTCTCCTTCAGAGTTATAACCTCCTGAAATCCGCCCTTAAGAATAGTTTTTTTTTATATCTCAGAACCCTGTTGTACGAGAATCACTAAATTTGGTACACAGGGGTTTCATCACATGTGGAGTCTGATAGTGTTACGCTTTTTGGCGGGGAATCTCTTTAAGACAATCTTCTTGTCTTTGGAGCAAAAAAAAAATTTGGTTGCATATTTAAATTTCTTAAAAATTATTAGTCCACTAGAAACTTTTTTGTCCCTTGATACTTTTTTCGTAAAATGCAATGTTTTCGAGGAAAATGTCAAAATATGATCAAATGCATATCGTGATTCGCCATATTTCTCAAAAACATTGCGTTTTACGAAAAAAATATTAAGAAACAAAAGTTCCTGAACGCAATGGTTTTCTAGGGAACTAATAATTTTCAAGAAATTCCAATATGCAACCAAATTTTTTTGGTTCCAAAGACAAGGGGGCCCACGAAAGTGTCTTAAGGGGGTTCCCTGCCAAAAAACGTAGCACTAATAATATGTCATAAAACCTCTGTGTACCAAATTTTGTGATTCCTGTACAACAGGGTTCTCAGATATAAAAAAGTATTCTTAGGAGTGGATTTCAGGGGGCTGTAACTCCGAAAGAGGGGCAAAAATAAAACATATGTGTCCCCTAAATTTGTCTTAAGAATCTATGACCAAATTTTGTTGCATTAATTTCGGGACACCCTGTATAATGTCTCCTTGTGGAGTTACCGCCATTTTTTAACCAATTTTGGGCAGCATTAAAATGCCTGTAACTCCTCAATAATTAATTTTTAGAGAAAAAGCAATCTGACGAAAGGAACAAAGAATACTGGTTACCAAAAACAGGAATACAAGTTTTGAAAATATTTTTCTAGAGATGAATCTTCAATATTACAAATGTTCAAGGACTGATGAATGAACTGAAGCCAGATATTTATGAAGAATGGACTCTTTACAGATTCTTCTAAACGAAGTCTAAGGCTCCATAACACAAATAAGATCACTTCTATTCCAATAACACATTCAGTCACTCGGTGTATTTTAATTTCAAAATTTTACCTGATTTAACAAAAAATCGAGGTTTCTACTAATTTTGAGCTATTTTTTGAAGTTAGTGAAATATCCTGATTGATTGAACATTTATGATGGTTCTACCCTGCCTGTGCCTGATATATTCATAGAAATGTAAGTTTATACTTTTTTCTCGTAGATGGGCATGATGCTGAAATGAATAAAAAATATAAAACAAAAAATGCATAAAAATCACCTTTATTTAAAATTTTTATTTAACAAAAATATCACCAAGGTCTTCTCTAGACGTAGATGAAGGAATGTAGGGGTATCCAATTATTAATTAAACATATTTCCGAAAAATATTGATCGTATTTCCACACTGCATAATGTCAATAATAAACAAAAATATAATTACTAACTTGATTTATTTCATTTAACATAATATGAACCACATATAAAATATACTTTAATGTACTTCCTAGCATACTTCTTTTATACGACCATTGAAAACTTATATCTTTATTCAACTCTCAGCGTTTTTCATTGCGTTATAGGTTATCTTCTTTTGTTTTCTGAACTCCTCCTAGTAAGCGTGATTAAGGAAACACTTGTATTTAATATTGCCTGCGTACTAACAAAAAACGTTAGTTAAACATATCATATATCTGATCAAATATGTAAAATTTAATAGAAAAAATTTAATGAAAGCTTTAAAAAATATATTACATAAAAAAAATCAAAACCACACTTGTATCATATAAAACATACAGAAGTGACATAACTTTAAAGTATTTGAACCAAATGTTTTGATATTTCTATGATTTATTAAAAGATGCAAAAAACAATGTGCTACTAATAAAAAACGTTTGTATAAAAAGGATATTGTTTATCTCTAGGTTCAGACTTTTCATGTGAACGGTCTCTTGGATATGGCGATATTTCCTAAGAACAAAAAAAAATTATGTAACCTTAATTTTCGATTATAAATTCGACCTACTCTGGTTCGATGATGTTTTTCCCTTGGGTGTAAGGGTGGTTCTAAAAGCTCTCCATTTTGTGACAGAAGTTTAGCAACTAAAAAATTTTAAAACTTATTAACCATCTATCAATTTCATATGCACCAAGAACTACCTTTTTCTTCTTCACGTCGCCGTTTCATTTCTTGTTGTACGGCCTCGTCAAGTCGATCCTGCAACAAAAACAATCAAATTAAAAAATCCACAAGAAACAGAAAATACAAAGAAAAAAACAGCCATACACTAGAATATACAGAATCATTAATTTAAAACTTTCAAAGCTAAAACTTTTTTTAACAATAATATTATAATTATACAGGGCACTCTGATACTTGGTACAGGTTAGCAAAACATGAACATAAGCAGATCTTTTAACTACAACATATACATTTCTAAGGATACCTTTCGTATCTACTTATAAATATTTTGAGATATCATAGACATATTGTGAAATATTGCAATATTTACTGCTATATTTAATAAAATATTTTGTATTATTTGGAATATCGCTCTCACAGTAAATTAAATAAGTGTAATTTTGTGTTATTAAATTTTAAATAAAACAAATTGCTAATACAATTTTTCAAAGTACGGCACCTACAAAAAATCATATCTAGTTTACAATTTACCATTTTAAAGATTGAAATTATAGTTTCCAAACATGAATTTTTGGAGCAGGCATATTTAATGAAAGATATTTGATTTTAAAAATCCATTCAAATTCAACATCGAATCATTGATCAAGAGTTATTTTTTAAAATTAGTTTCACATATACGCGGTGACATATGAAAGCTTGAGGTAAAGAAGTTAATTTTTGTAAATATAGTTATACATATTTTGCCTATGGTACAGTAGAACTTCAAAAAATGAACTGTTTATCCTTGTTGTACATGCAGAACTGCATAAGCTTATCTCTCTCGCTTATCTGTTTGAGGTGGGATATATTTGACATATGGCAACGAACAGTAATATTGTTATAGGCACACGTTTTTTCTCGATGGTTGTTTTCATTGTTTTATGGGCAAATTAGTAAACTACTTCTATTGGAACTTTATTAAAATAAAGTCTCCATCTACATATTTATTTACTGCCTAGGATGAATCCCTTACAATCAAGTCATTCAATTCTCAAGCGTTCTTAGATGGACGTTTTAGTTTACACCTATTGATTTCTTTCATCTCATTTATTTAAAACACATATTGTATGTAATTTTATCAATTTCATTACTACTGAATTTTTAAATAAAGCAACAAATAAATAAAAATCATAAAATATGTTTATAATGTATAAAAGAAACCTACCCTTTTTCTTCCAAGTTTTCTTTCTTTTCTCAGTTCCTTCTCCTCTTCACTCATCTTTTCCCGTTTTTCTTTCAATTTGTTGGTGCGCTCCTTCTTTTCTGGCTTTTCGGCGAAGAAATCAAGCTGTTTCCGTTCTTCATGTTTGGAACTCTGCAGACAACCATTGGTTTGGAATTAAACATAAAGTATCACTAAATTGTGTTGCACCACATCTTATACAATTATGTTGGCACAACACATACTTTATAAAAAATTCTTTATACAATCTACTACCCTAACAGCCGTATTCACCATTATTACTATCAGGGGGTTAACTGATGTTAACATGTTACCTAATTTGAGAATACTTTAAAATTTAGTCAAAACATTGATTCACAGTCACATTCAACATTGATTGAATCATTTAACATATTCGTATTCTAAATGTTATAATAAAATTTGGGCAGTTACCCAGTTTGCTTCTTCTAGATTTTAATATACGGTGAAAATAACCACCTTTAAAAAAATGGTGAAATGGGCTGGTTGTAAATAAAAAATTAACATCTAATTACTAAACTTACTGCTTACTTAAATACAAGAAACAAATAGCTGACTATATTCATAATGTATTATATTACACTGGCATCATTAGATTATTGTAGACATCAATTCAAAAATATAAAAATATTACAAGAGTTTACACGATGTGTGACTACAATATAACCTGACCGATGCTTTAGAAATTTGTATTTAATAAAACACTGTGCATGTCTTATTTTCACTGTAATCCTCTATAGTAGTTCCATATTAATCTTCCAATTCCAGGAACAATGCTGAACTTTTTTTCTGATATTCTTCATAAGATCGATTTTTTTCTCTCTACTGAATAAATGGACTTAAATCTTCTCCTTTTTTCGAGCGTTTCTGATGTGTAAGAAACAAAATATCAAAACCATGAACTTCGTCTAAATGTCTGAACACGTTTTGTGTGCTGCTGCATTGTCTCACTGAATCCGTGAGATGTCCCTTCCCATTTCAAAGATTTCAGATCTCGAATACTCATGGACTTTAAATCTCTCTATTGTATGCCTGATTCCCTTCTGTCACCCATAAACCTGATTAAATAATCGGATGCCGAAAAGTAAAATTAATCACTGGTTTCAATTTGTTTATCTGTTCTTTCCAGTTCAGGTCTTTTTCAATGCAAGAATTCAGGATCTTTCACAAATATGAAGATTGAGTGGGCAATTTCTCAGTTTTAATTTTGATATAATTCGAACCGGGCTGAGAATTACTAAATGTGTGACTCTTTCAGATGCTGTCGAATTTATTGAATTCATAGGGGTTTGCAAAAACATTAGATCAGTTATTTTATAGCCACATTTCCTATATTTACATGATACCTTATTCATAGAATCCATTCATTCATTCTACAAGTACAATAATCAACTACAAATTAATGCCATCAATTAAAAAATAAATATCTTTCATAACAAAGAGGTAAGCATTTACAAAATTATGTAATGAAACAATTTTTGTAACTTTCTGTTTGTGTGAAATAATTCTGTGTGACTACTTTTTAATAATAATAATTTACATGACGCTTTAGCAAAATTTATTATTTATTTTCATTAAGAAAATTAAAAGTATAATAAGAAATATCAGGAATAGGTATGTAATAATGAAACCTCTGTCTTGATTATGTGGCATGTGAAGGAAAAATCTTTGATATTTGAACCATGTTGATAGAAAAAATCACAGCTATTTTTAAGTGCACTGATACATTACACATTACAATTTATTGTTTACTGCTTTTAAAAAATGGAAGCAATACTTTTTTTCTTTTTGGTAGATCAATGTAATAGTTACATAACACACAAGCTAGATGAAGACAGAATCTACCAAAAAGAAAAAAAAAATCAAGCCAAGTTGTTTTTTTGTCCATAAAGACGTTATCTTTTGACGTTCTCTTAAGGATTAGAAACAAATTTTAGTAGTCATTGAATTATTTTCTATTCTCGAGCAGTTTATCATAGTTTAATAACAATAGGAATAATTATTTTTAATAGTTTTATAGCTCAGTTGCTTATAAATTATAAAATATGTAAAAATAAAAAACAGAAGTACTATGTGATACTCTATAAACTACATATACAATTTTTTTAAAGTTTAATAGCTTCACATGACAGAGAAAGATAAATGGGTAACATTATTCAAACCAAAATATTTACTTTCTATTGAAAAAAGTCCATTTCAAGACTGTGGGTGGTAATATTACGTAAAATTTGTATTTGCTGAAAAAGCATAATCAAAGAACACAAAAACTGTTGTAGAACATATTACTATTGCATTATTTATGAAACAAGCTCGATTTTTTTTTCAGAAATATTTCAAAAAAACCATTATATGTATAAACACAGTGACGATTTGTACGTTCTACTATCTTGTGAAGACAAATTACACTCTACTATGCCCATACAAAAGGTTTGTTTGACACTTGTTCAATAATATGGCATGACTTGACCCATATTTTTTAATTTGTAAGATATCGTTATTTAACTGGCAATTAAAAAAAACGTAAAAGTGAAATAAATTTGGCGAACAGTTGTGAGGTGCTAGAATACGCCTTACTTGCGCCATCTGTTAAGGAAGCTCAACTGAAATCTCACACCAGTGTCCTTTTATTTAAAAATAGAGATACAGAGAGGAGTTATACAAATAAGAAGTTTTCTGTAATAATATCTATAGTCTAGCACGTCACAAGTTGATAACAATGGCGTACAATTTGAATATAATTTTTTTAGAATCAGGTAGAAATTTACGTAAAAGACGTTATTAGCAAAATTGCTTGCATTATTCATATTAATTTTCATTGTAGAATAGTATTCTTGATAAAACACTACTCATTTTTCTATTGCAAAGACCCCTTTACATGATTATTTATTTTCCATAAACTGAATTTGCAGGCGCACTCAATAAGTTTGTACAATTTAATTCATGGTTAGAAATGGTAGTTTCTATATATTTGGTTTCTAATTAAGTAGTAATATACAGATACAGTGTTTCAGAACAACTTAGTATACATTCTAGGGGTAATAAAATATTAAGAAATAAAATCATTTCCTATGAACTACAGGTCCGAGTATAGGTCTATCTATTGTTATTGTAATACAGGGCATTAAAGGTAATTTTCCAAAAAAGATTTAAGTTAAGACAATTTATATATTTCAAGTTTGGTAATATATTTTGCGAGGCTCTATAGAAATAATGAATTAAATAGTTTCAGTTACGTTACAACCTTTTCAACTTATTTCTTTCTCTACCTTTGTCTTGTACAATCAAGTTGAATAATAAAGGATGAAAATATTCAGAGTGCACATTGAATTCAAAAGTACAAATAAAACAAAAATGCTGTTAGTCACTATTAATGATTAATTTTCGCATAGTGTTAGTGACATCATTTTGGACATGAGTAAAATAGACAACAAAACAATTATTTCACCGATTCTTTTTCACTCTGCACAGCCCATGATACCAGTTTTGCTTTGTCCCAGACTTAACACTTCTTGATTTGTATGTATAGCACAGCATACATGAAAGAAATATTTTATGCGACCAGTACACAGTTGAAGACAACAACAGGTAGCCAAAATAATTTTTCGGCAAGAACGGGGTACTTGCTATCTTTTCAGATATTACCATGTAATAAAATAATGTAGCAAACACCATTTTGTTACTGGTTAAAAATAAATATTTTTGTATGTAATAGTGACAGTTACCATCTAAAACTACCCCTAACACTTGGTATGGGATTTGAATAATACTGAAATAATTAGTGTCCAGATGCTCGAAGTTTAAGATACGAGTAAAATATCTTAAGATAAATGTTCACTCATGGGATTGAAATAGTGAATGGAAAGGATTGAATTAGTAACTTTGTTCATGGCCAGTTAAAGGTTGTACCGGCATATTATGTACATTATTTACTTTGTATAACAACAGTAAATATACCCCTCTTATTTTCTTACACATTATTCTCCGCATTGTAGTAATATACTTAATACATTCTTAAAGTATTAGAAGACAATTTGGGACTATACAGGTTCGGAAAGTCCCCATGGTACATCGGCCGTTACGTGGAGCGATAAAATAAGTCATAGAATTCCGTGCGATAGACAAGGATGGTTATATTGAAGACGTTTCATAGTCACTCCCACTTCTAACCCGAAACGGGCAGTGACTATTCAGATTATGAAACGTCTTCACTATAGCCATCCTTGTCTATCGCACGGATTTCTTTACTTTACTTTGTCGCTCTCATGCAAAGGCAAATGGACCATGTGGATTTTCCAGCCCTGTATAATATGACAGAACCCTAATAATAAGCATTATTTAGATACAAATCCACCCTGTGAATCTCAAGTTTGATTTATCAATTAAAAAAATTTACTCAATTTTTAATTAAAGGTGAGACATAACCTACAAAGCACGTGTCATATGTTCTTTTACATATGTCTAAATGTCATTGCTACTTCATGTCTAACTGGCACAAAGTGACCTACTAATCTGTAATAAACTTTATAACTAATGAGATTGTGGAAAAGAACTACTCCTACTACTAAGAATGTACATGTGCCAATAAACATGAAGTCAATAACACTTAGAGATATGCTCTCACCGCTACACAAAATATTTCTGTAAATAGATATCCAAATTGCTGAATCATTCATTGGTCGTCTCACCTATGGCATACAGAAGAGAACTAACAAATTTGAAACCGGGCTTTGATTGGTGAATCTGCTGATGGATGATCTTCACTATTTACTAGATATTTGGGGTGTAATTCTATGCCAGCAGGGGCATATAAACTATGGAGTAGTTGTTTCCCACAGTATTAGTCAAATTTTAATATTTTGAAAATACAAAGAGATGGTAATGTTGATATTTTTATCAAATACATAGATAGCTACTCTTTGTGCCAAAATGAAATCTGTCTGAAGTGTGTGTCTCGTTATTGATGTCAGGCACTTAAAACTGAGCCCTCTAACAAGCACACTTTGTCATATTTACACCACAGCTAGGATCATTCGTCAAGCAGAATCACCAGACAGACCCGTTTCGAACTTATTGCTTCTCATGAGTATGCCCCAAGTGAGACAGTTGTCGAATGA